CCTTATCTTGGATTTTCAGCTTTCAAAAATGTAAGCTAACTAAACCATTTTACTTTATAAAATACCCAGGCTCTGGTATTGTAATATTACAACAAAAAAGCTGATGGATTCGGTATTGAAACTTGCATTACAGTCATGATATTGTTTGTGATCAACTATAAATTTATAATTTCTACTGTGAAAATGCAACTCTTTACTCAACCAAACAACTTGATCTTCTCATTCAGGTTTATAAGAAAAGTCAGAGAGTCAAATTAACAACTGCTTAAACATATCTCTTGACATCAATTTTCCTCCGGTTGAAGAACTTCTTTGCTGTGATTCCCATTGTTTCTATGGATAAAAGCTTAGAAAAAGGACTAGTTTATATTTTCCTGTGAAAAAGAATTTCAAAGCAAGGAAGATACTGAGGTTCAGGGGTGAGAGTTGAAGAATATACCATGGAAGGAAAGAAAAGCAGATAACTTGTCTTCTAAGAATTCATTTAAATCTTAAGCCTTTAATTTGAAAGTTGCAGTGGAACATGAGCACTTTCAAAGCATGTACAGAAGTTTCTTGACAAATGAAGTGAAATCAGCTGTCAGAGTAACTGGATTGGCATATGTTCCTGAGCATCATAAAACTGAATGAAGTCTGCAACTTCCTCATCATGACATTATACCCAATTGTGGGAGTGAGCCATGAAGGCTGACCAGAAGAGGATCCATCTTTTATGGATTTGCCATCAGGAAGGTTGACCAAACAGCCTTGAAAATAAGTATATTCCCCAGAAGTCACAAAAATTTAAAGATACAAACTTTTAGCCTGAAGTTCAATTTAGTCCTTAAGTTTAGAACAGCTTTCTACAGAAAACAGCCAAAAACTGATCAAAATATATGAATCTGTCATTTTCAAATATTGAAAAACAGGCATTCTAGAAACATTATCCTTAAGAAAAAAGAGAAGTAAGCACCACAGTCTTCCCAGCTGTCTGACACAGAACATCTGTTATTGCAGAACAGCGTGCATAGAGCCAAGGTAGAATTGAAATTTGACCATCTAAGGAGGCAGATTGGCTATTCTAGGCTACTGTTGTGACTAGAATTTGTAGGGCAGATAAAACAGGAACAGTTCAGATGATAATTTTTAGAAATCTATGTATCAGATTCTGGGAAATGTAAATGTGTGTTTGGAAAGTACTGATTTAAGCCAGTGATCTTAAGTCTTCATCATAAGAATAAGACTGTGTTAGATACTGCACAGTTCTGCCTGTCAATTAGCAAGCATTTAGTTAAATGCCTTATCACTCAAGGAAAACCTTTACAAACACATTTATAGCAGAAGTTTTAACTCTAGGAATTTAAATTCCCTCCCATTCTGTCTCCCCTTCCTTCATGTCATCATTCCTCCTATTTCCTTATCTCCCTCATCCCTCAAGGCATCCATGCAAAATAGGGAAGTTATATTCAGAGGTAGGGAATAATCATTCTGGCTTCATATTTTTCACCTACACTTCTTCATATGTATGTGTATGTGTGTTGTAGAACAAGCTGAACTGATCTGTGGTGGAGAAAGTGTTTATTTTGAAGGGCAAGAGCAGGGATTAAGAGGGAAGCACCATGTATGACTTTGGAGATGATGGTCATGCCCTAAAAATTTGAATTATACAGGTATATACATTGTCAAAACAGTGAACATACTTTAAGATACATAATTTATATAAATTTTACCTCAAAACAAAAATGTTGTCAACAAAAAAATGTTTAGAAAAATACTGTCAACAAGAATCTTTTTAATGCAAAAGAACAGAGTGTATTTTTTCACCATTAGCATAGACTGTCTGAACATAGTGTAAAAGTAGTATGTATACTGTGACTGAAGTGTTTTTTGCTTGTTTGTTTATTTGTTTGTTTTTTTGACCATTAATTCTATCAGAGTCTAGCTAGCTCACAGTCTCAGATAAGTGTTCCAGGCTAAGATTAAAAGCTTAATGCACTATACCTTGTGCTTACCTCAGTGAGTAGTACTTACTATACTCCCTTGAAGTTGTCTCTTCTAATTGACTCAGCTCCTGGTGAGGAAGAAGTATATCCCTACCCTCTGTCACATTCTTTTCATGGAACAATAAATATTGAATAAGTGAATTAATAATGGGACTGTCTTAGTCCACATCTTGATATAACAAAGATTGTTCTCAACTCATCAAAACAATTCAATTTTTAAATTATTACTTGTTAGCTGGAATTAACACAGACTAACAAAGATGAATTCTCTAATGTATTTTTACCATTTCAAGTTCTATATTCAAGGAAATTGCTTAAATTTATATCCAAATAGTAATGTGGCTTAAATTTCTGTCATTTGAACACTGCTTGAGTTAGTGGCTGGGTTATGGATCTGTAATTGCAAAGTACTTCAGGAGGAAATAATGAATATGTTACATGATTAAAAGTTGTTTGTGACATTCATAATAAAATATATTCTAAAATCCTCTTAGTGTGGTTTTTAACTTCTCAGTATAAGTGAAATGTTGAAATGAGAGCACCTATTATTTAAAGGTGATTATTTGTATTCAGTATGTTTGTACAATAAAGAAATTAAGTATACTGCTAGGCACAATTTTATTTTGCTGGGAGGCATCCATGTAAAGTTTCTAGTAGAAATCCTAACAAAGGTCAAAAATACATACATATAAAATTCAATTTTTTTGATTTTTTTTTTGGTCAGGAATCTGTCTGGTTAATGAAAACATTAACAGAAACATTTCTAATGGTAAAATATTCATTTAACATATTCTATTATATTTAAAGAGGGATAAACTTGTTACTCATAAATTACTCAGGTTAAATTACTTGGCTATGTTTAGCCATATATCAAATTTAGTTTTTGAAATTTGAAAGGTTGAACTCAGAGTGATACATTTCATTCTGTACTTTTTGTCCTAAAGATTTTGTTTTGTTTCCCCCATTTTTTGTTATCTTTACTTTGAGCATTACCATAGAATTAAAATGAAGGGATACTAGTTTATTTGTAAGCACAGTAATAGCTTATTTTTATAGTGTTTTGCAGTTTATGAAAAATCCATACTCATTTTATTAATAATATATAATAACTAACATTTATTAAATCATTCTGTGTGCCAGATATTATGTTCAGTTGCTTACATCATTTCATATAATTCTCACACTATCCTCATTTTATAGAAGAGGAAATTTGAGGTTTAGAGAAACAAAGTAATTGGTCTAGCGCTACAGACCTAGTTATTGGTTGAATTGGATTTGAACTCAGCCAGCTAATTCCAAACCCAGTTCTAACTACCACACTTCCACATTTTTGTAAGATAGATGTTAAAACTTGAACAAGAAATGTTTTTCTTGGCTCACTATATGTGCATTACTGGACTTCAGGAATTTGTCTTGGTTCCTAGCCTGAAGTTGCTTATAGTCTAGGAACTTGGCCTCTCAAACCATAGAAATGCCTCTCAACCCAAAGTCCAGAAGTTCAGAATCAGAATGTGCATATCAGAAAAATTCCGAAGTGGTGGATATGCACATTCAACTCTGAAAGGCTCAGAACAGTTTACACAGGTGGCATCATATCATTTGATTCTAAAATCTTTGTGCCAGATTGGTTTTCTACTTCAGCTGCCCTACACATTGTATAGATGATATCACTCTATGTATATTGGACCTGTTATATTTGATAGAAACCTCTAAATTCTTTCAGTGCTCAATATTACCTTTTTGAGAACTGTTGTAGGCTGTATCTCTTTAAAATTATATTGTATATCAAATACAATTTGAAATAACATCAAATATTTTAAATTATATTGTATGTCAAGATGTGAGATTAACTAACCATACATTTTATTTGGCTGTTATAACTTTATATTACATCTTTTCTTAGCTGAAATATACTAAGTTGTTGAAAATGGCATGACTGATGAATAAGTTGGACTCATTATTGTTTGTTAAAGGATACTAACTAGATTATGAAGTTTAGAAGTAAAAAGGTGATGTCACACCCCACCCCATTCCTTTCCAGTCTGCCTAATGCCGCTTTCCTAACACTGGATTTGTCGTTTTTTTAGATGTGGAAGTTATGTACTATGACTGGATTTCTCTTTGTTTACATGGCGCCCTTATTGGACTAGCAGGGTCTGTGCTTTAAATATCTCCTAACAGTCCAAAGTTTAACCCAATATGTGCATTCATGTATTAACAAACACATGCTTTTTCAAAATTTCATATAGGGAGCACTATTTTGTTACGCATGCACTACCACTAACATGATAGATATAATGTTGGACAACTCCTAACTTTTAAACTCCTTCCCAGATTATGATAATAACTGATTTTGAGGATGGAAAGTGAATTCCAGTAAGTTTATGCATTAGCTTTTAGTTTTTATATTACTACATAAAAATACCTGTAGTTTACATTTAATAACATTACTTGGGTTTTTTGTTTTGTTTTGTTTTCACTGAAATGTGAATGGAAGTATTTATTTATATCAAGTAATATTGAATCGTATTTTAAGATATAATCAAACTTTGATTTGATTGTACATATAGGTTTGTCCTATATTCCAGAAATTAACTTAAAAAAAATGAGCTCAATAGCTGTGAAGATGAGGAACTGAAAAGATTTTGTGTTACCAAAGATTTGTCTTATGCTTCTGTTGTCCTTATTTGCAACATCTTCCTTCTGAGAAATGACTTTTCTACTCTTAGAAAAGTCTGACCTTTTCCCATAAATCTAAGCAATAATTGAATGTTAAAATTTAAAAGGATTCCTTGAAGTAATACTTTCAAGGACACAAATAAATATGTCAAGTAAGTACAAACTTTTAAAAGTTGAAAGTAAGATTTACTTTCCACTCCTAATATTATTAATCTTATTTTAATTATTGTAGCATCTAGACTTAATAACAAAAGTATTCACTTCTGTCTTGAAAATCAGTTGGTATTAATCAAAGAACAAATATTTTTCAGATTTTTTAAAGTGCATTTTATTTTTCAGCAAAGATGTCAAGGAAGTTAAGCTTACCTACTGACCTGAAACCTGATTTAGGTAAGTAAAATAAATATCTGAAGAAATTGAACTCTCTATTATAGAAAAAGGGAAGAGAAGATTTAAAACTATGATTGAGATTTTTCAATGAAAATAAAGTTTAAAATGGCTATTTGAGAATTAAGCATCTCTTGGAACAGTCTTCAGAAAACTCTGCAAATTATAACACAATTATAGTACAAATTCAAGCTAATCTAGATAGTGTATTTCCTCACTCCCTCATACTTTATACTAAAGAGAAAAAAACTAAAACTATAGTGTGCAATTTCAGGTTAATTTTTATTAAACATAATTATATTCTATTTACCTTTATTTCATGTGGCATTGTTTTGATTCGGGAATATAAATTTTTGTTGCATACAGCTCTGTGTTGGGAGGTGACAGTGATATATACAAGTAGAATGTTTTCAGTGTCTGGGAGGTAGCATGAAAGCAAAGATTTTATGACATCACTTCTATTAGCTAGAACTGGATAGAGGCATTAATGATAAATTTAATCTGATTTTAGATATGCCAGAAAGATCATATTCATGTACTTTTCTGGCATCTGAAGACTGAACTTAGCTGCTAAAAAATAACTGTAAACTTCGAGTTAAGATGATATTGGTGATAAAACTGTGCATAGTTGTCTAACAGAACATTTTAGACTTGAACAGGGGCACAGATCCTGATTCAACCATTTACTAGCATTGTCATCATGGGCAAGCCATTTAACTTCTGTGTGCTTTACTTAGTTGTTTGTTAAATTGTGATGATAATGCTTTTCAAGGTGATTATGTATGTTCCTTAGTACATAGTATTATGACAGTAACTGACATGTTAAGCTGTACTTAATTTTAACATTTTTCATTTCTGTTCTGCTTACTTGAATTATTAAAATTAAGCATGCTATTCTATTTGTTAAGCTTCCCAATTGCTGAAATGGAAATCACAGACTCACAATACCTAACTTAATAGGAGAAAGTGGAAGTTGTAATTCATGAACTACTAAAAATTATGATGTGTTTTTTGAACAGTTTTAGGTAGAAAATTAAATAACCAACTGATACCTAGCAAGTGTAAGACTGATTCCTATTCATTACATCTTCTCCTGTTGACTTAGCCTTAGTTTCTTTGGTAATTAATTTTATAGATAACTCATATAATAAAAGCATAATTATAATTTATGATCTTATGTAGTCAAATTAATCCTTAAATTCAAACACTATTTCTTTGGCCTATGAGTTAACATTTAAAGTTTAGGTTGTTGTAAATTGCCCATGTGATTTTAGTAAATATCAGTAAGAGTTTTTTCACAGATTAGTTTACATTGAAATTAATATTATCAGATTTTCTTGTATCATTATTTTCCATTGTTATCACTAGGTCACAGCTAAAACTATATGTCTAGTTACCTTTTATGTGTATGCTTTATTTAAGTAACAAATATATTTATCATTAGAAAATAAACATGAAATTTATATCATTATACTAAATCACAAGTAAATAAATATTTGGAGTCAATATATGGCAAACTCATTTGATAATGAGCTATTTATTTATGGAGAGTTGTTTTATTAGATAATTTATCAATTGTCTGTTTGTATTTTAGAATACTTAAGGCTGGGTATTTTATAAAGAGGTTTATTTAGCTCAAGTTTCAGAAATTCAAGAGCATGGTACCAGTATCTTCTTGGCTCTGGTGTGGGCCTTCTGGTTATATCACAGCATGTTAGATGGCATCATGGTAGAAGTGTGTGTGTGGAAAGAGAGATCATATGGTAAAGCAGGAAGCCAGACAAATTTAGATGCAATTCTTGTTCTTTTTGTTATTGTTTTCTTTTTAGCTATACATGAATGCATTTTGACATATTATAGATACATGGATTATAACTTCCCATTCTTGTTGTTGTGCATGATGTGGAGTTATACTGGTTGTATATTCATATAAAAGCATTGGAATGTTATGTCTGATTCATTCTACTGTTTTTCCTATTTCAATCCTCCCTCCCTTCCCTCATTCCCCTTTGTCTAATCCAATGAACTTCTATTCTTTTCAATCTCTGCCCCCTTATTGTGTGTAATGGGCCACAAATCAGAGAGAACATTGTACCTTTGTTTTGGGGGGGACTGGCTTATTTGACTTAGGATGATAGTCTCCGATTTCATCCATTTACTGGCAAAATCCATAATTTCATTCTTTATGGCTGAGTAATATTTCATTTTGTGTGTGTGTGTGTGTGTACACATCACATTTTATTTATCAGTTTATCTTTTGAAGGGCACCTAGGTTGGTTCCAAAGCTTGGCTATTATGAATTGAGCTACTATAAACATTGATGTAGCTGTTACTATCATATGCTGATTTTAAATCCTTTGGATATATACCCAGAGTGGTATAACTGGGTCAAATTATGGTTCCATTTCAAGTTTTCTGAGAAATCTCCATACAGCTTTCCAGAGTGGTTGCACCAATTTACAATCCCACCAACAATGTATGAGTGTGCCTTTTTTCCCCACATCCTCACCAACATTTGTTGTTATTTATATTCTTGATAATCGCCATTCTGAGTGGAGTGAGATTGAATCTCAGTGTAGGCTTCAGAGTGGCCACAGAGAAAGGAACTGAAATTGAGGGAAGATTTATTTGTATAATTTTCAAATATTCCTGTCATTACAGAAAGAACTAAGTAAAAGGAATATGTCTGATATTAAGTATATCTCAGATATCAGTTATGCATTTTGAAGAAAAATGCCTTAGATGAATGTTGATTACAGTTAATATGGCTTTCAAGAAAAATGGAAGCTAAATTTTTATTTATTAAAAGCACTCATATGGTGAGACTGAAAAAACATAATAGGCTCACCTTCAGGGCACTTCTAAATATATTTTTCTAATATCTAGAAAATTGAAAAGACCTTCACTTTTCTGGTTCTACCAAATCATGAATTGTTAACAAAGGAAGAAACAGCATCTTAGGAACAGAAGGGGCTAAGAACTAAGCTTATAAAAGCAACCTGCATGCCAGACATCACATTCAGAAATTCACTGGGATTCACCCAGCTCAGTTCTGAAAACTGTGGATTTACTTATTTATATTTTACATTTACACAAAAGGGAAATTTTACAAACATAAAAAGTAAATTATTTTCCTTTTGGTTTAAAGGAAATAATAGTAAATATGCCATAGTTTTGATTTTTTTGAAGGTTTAATTATTTGACCAAATTTATAACAGAAAAGTGTGATATTTTATAATAAGCAATCGCAACAATATTTTAAATCATTTCAGATGTAAAAGATAATTCCTTCAGCAGATCACGGAGTTCAAGTGTCACAAGCATAGACAAAGAATCCCGAGAAGCAATCTCTGCTCTTCATTTCTGTGAAACTTTTACTCGAAAGGCGGACTCGTCCCCTTCCCCAAGTCTGTGGGTTGGAACAACACTAGGAACAGTGCTTGTCATTGCACTGAACCTTCCTCCAGGAGCAGAGCAAAGACTTCTTCAGCCCGTGATTGTTTCTCCAAGTGGTATGTATGCTTTTAAGCTGCACTTAGAATTATAAGTATGATTTGCTATGATTTAATTAGAAGCTTTTGCCCTACCTTATTGAATTAGTCTAAGAATTCTAAAATGTAAAGCAAATGAGGAGAGTGATAGTTTTATGTTTTTAATGAAGGAATACATGGAACAAGATTTCAAATACCATTGGAACAAGATTTCAAATACCATTGGAACAAGATTTCAAATACCATTGGAACAAGATTTCAAATACCATTATATAGCTGTTCTACATTTTTTAAAATTCTACAGTCATGTATTAAGTGATTAGTACATAAGAAAATGAAAAAAAAGATTGTCATTACAGTAAGATATTCCTAAAGCCTTAAAATTTTATTCTACAGGCAAAAAAATACTATGTATTTGGAGAAGAAAACTGAACTTGGCTGTTTTTAATCTCTAAACATGAAATCTGAACTATGGCTTATTTTAAGTGCTTTTGCTTAGGAGAACAGGAGTACCATTAATAGGAGTGTCATGAGAAGAAAGTAGTGGTTTATTTAATGATGTCATTTGATTTTACATAGTGAGACACAATGGGAAGAAAGTCCAGTAAACATAGAAGTGTATTTCCAAGAGAAGCGAGGACAGGAGTTGAGACAGGTGTGGGACTGGCCACAGGGAAAGTAGCTACAAATTAGAGAAATATTCTTCAAAGAATTAGGAAAAAGTGACTTAATAACAGACTTTTTTAAAAAAATTGATCTTTGTATATTAAAAATTAGTTTGGGGTTTTATCAAATATGTCTATAGTTTATTATATCTAGAAATAACTGAGAAATCTGGTTTCTTTACTCATTTATTGATCACCCTAATAGAGACTACCATGACTTTGCTGGTTTATGTATCTCATTTCTATAGCAGATTTTATAGTTCTTGGAATTTAGAATTAAAATGTAATTATTATTCTAATCCTCATCCAAACTGTATTTACATTGAATAAGTAATTTGATTTATTTATTCAATAAATATTTGAATATATAATGTACACATACTTGTAGATTGAAGAAAACAGTTTAGATAATATAGGCATTTCTACTAATCACTAGTAAATGACAAATATTTATGTAGGAACAAAAAAGCCTTGAAAGATGGAAATCAAAATATTGAAAGGAATTAACTGGTTCATTGAACTTAGGATAATTTTTACTTTTCTCCTTTTACTAATTTGTAGTTAATAAATTTTCTACAACAAACATATATCTGTTTCTGTTTCCAGTAAGCAAAAATGAAGGAGAGGGATTCAACATAGATCATTTACTATTAACTCTACAAAAGTATTCAAAATATTCCCCGAATTGCAATAAAATCAAATTATTTATAAAGTTTCTTTGATACAAAATAATATGCATTTGCAAAAATAAAACTAAAAGTTTCTTTTTTATATTTTTTTATATTTTTATTAGTGTATTTTAATTATACATAATAGTGGGGTTGGTTGTCACATATTCCTGTATGAACATAACATAATTTGCTCCCATTCATTCTCCATTACTTCCCTTTTGTTTTATTTTTAGGGATGCCGTTTTCAAAATATATTAGTGATGCTTATATCGTCTGTATTAAAACTGTGAAAGAGCTATTTTTTAAGCAGATGGGTTTCCGTGATTATGAATCTAAAATTATCTACTTTGCCCCTTTTTTTTTCTTTAAGAGGAAAGTCCATTACTCTGCTGTGAAATGTGCTAAACTCTCACCAGCTATAGGGCCATTAAAATGTTATTTAGGGCCATTTCTGGAAGATCTATGTACTAGAACCATGTATGTGCTCAAAATAGCTCCCAAATTTACATGGGATAATTCACCTAACTTCATTAAAGATTTAAAGCTGGAAGAACTCTTGGGGTGAACAAGAGTAAAATAAGAGGTCTTGTGGGGGTGGGGAGTTAGCTTTAGAATATGCTCTTAGGTAATAGTGATTAAAGTGGTAAGAGTATAACTGCTGTTTCTCATATTTTTCTACCAAACTATTTAAAATAACCAGCTAAATTATCTACTTATCAAACCTAGACTGGAAGCTGTATTTACTAGATATAGCAAATAAAAATACAGAATGCCCAAATTTTAATTCCAAAAACAAATACCTTTTAAATGTAAGCACATCCTGTATTTAGAAAGATACCTAGTATTAGGAACATACTTTATTAAAGTTTTTATTTATCTGAAATTCAAGTTTAACTTCCTGCTGGCAGCCCTACTGTACAGCAAACATATATTTGTAAAAAAAAATAAATAAAAAAAGAAAGAAAGAAAAAGTATATTTTCTCCTAAGAAAAAATTTGAGAGAACCTCTCGTTTTCTTTTATTCTTATTCTCTTTCTCTTAAAATTGGTAGAAAATAATATATGGAAAAAAATTTTACAGACTAGAAAATATTATGTGAATATAAAGTAATAATATATGAAAATCATTTTTTAAAAGTTAG